ATTTGACACTTTAATTTCAACCTTTCAATTTCAAGTTTTATCTTTTTAATATGTCTCAAAGAATGTTTACAGTGTTTGGACAAAGGAGGTTTCTCATATATCTATCCAAGGTGACGTTTCTTTTGCGGATCAGTATATGATATATAAGCGTCATCACATTTGTATCCTCGTCATAATGAGACCACTCTGTTTAGTTTGCCTTTTTCTTAAAGTTTCTGCCATTTCAAAAGTTATAGTACTTATATTAATTTAACCAAATGACGTCTTGTGGAACTGGGAAGCAAATAATACTTTTTCGTGCCATAGATAGTTGAGTAGTCATAATGATTACAGAAAAACAAACTTTAAAAAAATGGTCGTACCTCATAGAAAAAAGTGATGAAATGCATAATGTTAGCTTGCCAGAAAATAATGATGAATTGGTGATGGTAACGTGTGATTCTAAATGTTTCGTCATTCGTGATTACGTAAAGAACTTGATCTGATTCTTGAAGATAGGTTTTAAATTAGATTGGTTTATTGCAACGAAGTATGGGTGAATGCATAAATGAGTCGTTCAGTAACGTCCTTTTCAAGTCATTAGAAGGGCATTCGATTTACACAAATCAAATTGGAGCACGCACGTTCGTCGGCTTAAACTAATTTTGCAACCTAGATTTGTCCGGTAATTTGTTCCACAAATCTCAATCAAACGCAGGGATTCACAGTATTGGCCGTAGTTATTTCCAGCCGAACGATGAGGTATTGATCTCACCCTTATCTGGGTGTCAATCAGAATTATATCTATTATCTGTTTGATTTTATTTAATTTAAGTAACACTGATTGCTTATATGTATTGCGAAATTGCCTTAAAACACGAGGATTCGTCTGAGGTAGTGTAATTTGATATGCTGAGGCATGCCCCTTAGTCCGAATATTGTAGGTTCGAATCCCACATTCTCCATGGTTATGAATCTCAGTTTTAAGCGCCATTTCGCACTTGTGGATTTCACGAAAGTGTTAAGTGGTAAACCTTAAACCTGCATAACTTCGGATTTCCCACAATATAATGATGATAAGGGGTGACATGACTGAAACACACCCCACTCACTCACTTTATCCAGTAAGTACAGTTAAACATTCAGCGACAGATGCCACCCCACACTATGGATTATGAGCAATCCAAGGGAGGCTACTCTAATATTCCTGTTTAAACTGTAACCCACCACTAACAGTTAACCTTAAACACAGAAAACTGAAAATCTGTATCCATTTATGACAAACTGTGTTTGACTCAGATGCATATCAATGATGTGTTTGAATTCACATAGAAACAAAACAAGAGTCATCAGACGATGACAAATCCCCCTGGCCCCAACAACAGCAAAGGAACAACCTCAGCTCCTGGTTAATACAATGTACCAAGTTTTTGGTGGAAAATCTTTCACGGTTTTCAAGTTATGCTCCGGAAACGAAATACGGACGAACAGACGGACGGACGGGCGGACGGGCGGACAGACAGACCGGATGATGCCTATAGGCCAGCATTATGTGCCGGAGGGATACAAATTAACATTGAGGCAAATAAAATTCGGGAAGCGGCCGTAAAATCAATGCAACAAAACGCGTGGGATTTAATTCCTTCATCTGTTTAATATTTCAAGTGTGTTGGTCAATGCCGCACTCAGCAATATTCCAGCACTAAGACGGCATGTGGTCGAGTATGGACCACACAATCCAGTTAATGATGTCAAACGGCGATCCACGGAACCAGGTCACCGCGTCTGACCACCCCATCCACAAGCCGCCATTAACGACCAGCATGGGTTGCTGGAAACCACTTGTATCCCGGCATCCACACGGGGCAAGTGAGTGAGGAGGTGGGGTGGGGGCAGTTTTAAACGTACCATTTCACGGCATGTATGTGGGAGGAATACAGAAGGTGACGTCAATCTTCGACAGACTAGCATTGGTCATGATCGGTACGAATCTGGAGGTCATGTGCTTTTTGTCTCATTGTATGAGAATGGTTCATATTGGGGATCTGAACAATACGATATGACCAACTTCTCCTTCAGGTAACTCGATGATGACGATGATGATGATGATGATGATGATCACGATGATGATCATGATGCTTACATTTATTTTACTTCAATATCGATCCTACCATATACCCAATACGTTCTTCAGTATTTGGGTGACACCAAGGCTACAGGGGCGCTTACAGTTTACACATTACGTCATTCTCTGATACCAATTCGACAACTAAATATCAAGGAACAGTGCAAACTATTTCAGCAGCTCTCAGGTGAGCAGTGCGTCTTTCGCAGAAATTCTGGAGAACAGTTTTCAGTCAAATTGTGACTTGGATTTTGCGTTGATTGAACAGTATTTCAGATATACCCCCGTGAAGATCCGGTTAAGAACTTGGTGCCGTTGTACAAAACAACCTTAGCGCTACGTCTGTCGTAAGTCTATGTTAAGGTGTGGGAGTTACGATCATCTTAGCGCTAAGATCGCTCTGTACAACGGCACCCTGGTCTTCAGCAACCCATCTCATCGTAAGATGCAACTAACGGGATCAAGTGGCCAAACTCTGACTTGGTTGATGCATGTCATCGTATCCCAATTGCGTTGAATGATATCAGTTTTCTCATGAGTGGGTTCGGGCATAATCTGACGAAATCCTAAAGAGAAACAAATGAAATTGTATTTTGATGTAAATAAACTCCAGTGGCTCTTGAAAGTATGCACAGTATGAGAAATTCTACATCGTAATGTCTTCATGTACTTATACATTAGCCACAGACATGGATACAAGTATGATATGCGTAGTGTTTATGGAAAGTCGTTATGGAGTGTAGGCCACAACATAAGAAACGTCAGTATACCTTTATTGTAAATTTTCTAAATATTCCCTTTATTGTGGTGTGTTCCTAAAGGCTTGTCAGAGAAGGAATACTGTTTCCGTCACAAGCAGTGATGCATTGTGTTCATGAAGCTTGTCAGAGACAGAATACTGTTTCCGTCACAGGCAGTGATGCATTGTGTTCCTGAAGCTTGTCAGAGAAGGAATACTGTTTCCGTCACAGGCAGTGATGCATTGTGTTCCCGAAGCTTGTCAGAGACAGAATACTATTTCCGTCACAGGCAGTGATGCATTGTATTCCTGAAGCTTGTCAGAGAAAGAATACTGTTTCCGTCACGGTCAGTGATGCATTGTATTCCCGAAGCTTGTCAGAGACAGAATACTGTTTCCGTCACAGGCAGTGATGCATTGTATTCCTGAAGCTTGCCAGAGACAGAATACTGTTTCCGTCACAGGCAGTGATGCATTGTATTCCTGAAGCTTGTCAGAGAAGGAATACTGTTTCCGTCACAGGCAGTGATGCATTGTATTCCTGAAGCTTGTCAGAGAAAGAATACTGTTTCCGTCACGGTCAGTGATGCATTGTATTCCCGAAGCTTGTCAGAGACAGAATACTGTTTCCGTCACAGGCAGTGATGCATTGTATTCCCGAAGCTTGTCAGAGAAGGAATATTGGTTCCGTCACAGGCAGTGATGCATTGTATTCCCGAAGCTTGTCAGAGACAGAATACTGTTTCCGTCACGGGCAGTGGTGCATTGTATTAGTGAAGCTTGTCAGAAATAGAATACTGTTTCCGTCACGGTCAGTGATGCATTGTATTCCCGAAGCTTGTCAGAGAAAGAATACTGTTTCCGTCACGGGCAGTGGTGCATTGTATTCCTGAAGCTTGTCAGAAATAGAATACTGTTTCCGTCACGGTCAGTGATGCATTGTATTCCCGAAGCTTGTCAGAGACAGAATACTGTTTCCGTCACGGGCAGTGATGCATTGTATTCCTGAAGCTTGTCAGAGAAAAAATACTGTTTCCGTCACGGGCAGTGATGCATTGTATTCTAGAATGTTGTAAATTTGATCAAACAACTTCTGAGCAAGAGTCCAATGACGTTCATTGAAATTTTGGTGGAAAGAGCATGTACCTCAAAAGTTGTGAAATGTAAGCACCAAGAGCTGGAGCTGCGGGGATATTGCTCAACATAAAGGGGAAGTCGTCCCTCTTGTCATACAGTCATGTGAAGTGTTTTTTGTCACTCTGAATCTTTATGCAAAGCTCTCAATATGAAACGTTGAGTGAGTTGGGTTTAGCGCCGCTTTTAACAGGATTCCAGTTATATCGCGGCGCGTCTGCTTACTGTGGGAGGAAAGCCCGAAGTGATCCAGGTGAAAGTGATCAGTGCTGACAAACCTAGAAACATAATCGGGGCGTACCAGGATTCGAGCCCACAATCATAGATTTCTGGCGTGCCCATGGGACGCAACTCTGCACAGCGAATCGCGGCGCCTTAGACGACTGGGCCACCCGTGCCCCCATATATGAAACATATCTAGATGAAGCGGTCTCACTGGTATTCTTTATTTCTAGTTCAGGTGGGTAAATCAGGGGAAGGGAATTGGTTATTGAACGATATCAGATCATCGATATACGTGAAGCTTAAATTACACGTCTTGGCCAGATTACTTGGTGCTGACTTTGCCAGTCCAAGCAGAAATTCTGATTCAATTGCATGAAGAAACAGATCAGCAAGAAGGGGAGCGCATTTGGTGCCCATGGGGATACCTACTTCTTGCCTAAATGTGTTCCCCCAAATTTTCCATTGATATTTTCAAAGAGGAAGTCTAGCATTTTTTTTCTCATGTTTTCTCAGTAAACTTCGGATGACATTTGCTTTCATGTTTGACAAACTGACCTGAATCTCTGGAGATAAATATGTAACTATATCTATGGTCACCACGTTTTGTAACAAAAGTCCCACGGATCAAGGAACGAAGTTTTTGAAATTTAAAAGCAACAACCCAGATTTCAGACAAAAAGACCGTGTATTGTTTCCAAACTGACACCATTTGGTGATTTATTTGTTCTTCAAGGGAATCATTTATTCGATAAACACTCTATTTATATAAAGAAACAAAAAAATGACTTTCATACAGCAAATATAATAATAACTAATAACATACAGCGCAACCTCGTTAATCCGGATGGCACTGCTCCGAAGACATCCTCCGGATTAACAAATTTCCGGATTAAGGAACATTTGTTGTTTTTTATGTAGAACTATGTGCCCCCAACAATATCGCCCGGAAATAGGGAGTCCGCATAAACGGGGTCCGGATTAATTATGTTTTACTTTACACAACACATACAAACGTCCTGCAAACATTCCTGCGGGCACGATAGCCACACACGCGGTGTACCTCATTAAGATTGTGTTTCTTTGTTTGTTTATATGACAACGGTCTGTAAATAATCGGGTCTGCAACAGACAATCAAGTGATTGACATCATGAGGCTCGATCAACGCAATTAGGATACGATGACATACATCAACCAAGTCAGCGAGTCTGACCACCCGATCCCGTCAGTCGCCTCTTACGACAAGCATAGTCGCCTTTTACAAGGCGATGTTTTTCTTATAGAGCAATATGTGACATGCTGACATATGTCTATCGCCACGGCTTTACTTTTAGCTCACCTAACAATAGTTTATTAAGTGAAGACTGTAGGCTTTCACACGTGAAGATTTAATTTCGGTTTGTGTGTGGCTTTCTTTGTAGTGGTCGTAAATGTGGCTTGTCAGCATTGTGTGTGACCTTACCCCCTCGACGCCGGCGGAACAAATAGCCGGCAAATTGAGCCCGGGGTGGATTATGATTTGTCTGGTTTAGTATTGTAAGATTCGGGATATGTACGGCTCGTGGCGCGCTGGCCGGGAACTGGAGAGCCTTGTCTGGTCTATTTGGTATTGGTAAATATGTGTGTGCAATGAATAATTCAATAAACAAAACAGAGTGAGTGAGAAGGTGTGTGAACACGTGAGTGAGTGAATGAATAAAGGTAGCAAGTGAGCGTGGATGAATGAATGAATGGATGAATACAATTCCATGTGTGGATAAATATTGAGTGAATGAATGAAAGTATGCACTTAAATGAATATATGTCTGGATACGAGAAAGTGATTGCGTGAATGAATATACACATAACATGGATTGAGTGGATGTATGAGTCATAAAAATATAATAATACAAGTATTCAAATAAAAGTATGTCGTGCATAGATCAATAAACAATTAAACGCGTTCGTGATTGAATAAAAGGAACAAATAAACAGTGCGACTAAACACTGAATCAATCACGCCGCATTGTCACCCCTTACATTGACAATTATATTTTTCATCAACTTTTCATTTTGACTTCACATATTCACGGTAACAAATATGCACAACAATATTATATCACATAGCGTTCAGATATAGACGAATGTCGTGCCTTCGAGTTGTGTAAATAAGATACCAATACTGAATAGGCCCACCACTCAAAGTGTTGTTGTTGCAAATTGATAACGCCTGTTTAAACAGGTATTGCCAAGGGTAAATAGATCGTAGGTACAGGCAGCGGGGATTTAACATTGTGTAAACAGCTCCCGAAACTTGATCGGCGACTGCCGTTCGATTTCAGCTGATTTCGCTGACAACTGGATGTACGAACTGACTGCTACCCGACCCTCTCCGGTGAAGGCACCCCACTCACTGTCGCTTATCTGGGGGTAATCTTTCCGTCAGCGGATCTACCGTCAACGCACATATCGGCGGGCTCGGGAGATTAGCTTCGTTGCTAGGCCGCGGAAGTCTCCGCACGAGTAGAGCGGAGAATAACGAAGCACGTCGGACGGTGTCAATGGCTTGTTTTAGTCAACTGAAATTTCAGGATGGTGTGTGATACACTGACGGAAGAGGGAAGGACATGTTTGTAATGGAACCTCGGTGTGCTTGAGTTGAGTGGGGGACAGATTCAAGATGTCGCTGTACGGAGGAGAGTCGGCGGGGGAGGGGCGACCCTACACTCTGGGGACGTTTCAGAACAAACTCAATAAGTTTGAGGATTTAATCAAGGATATGACATATCAGGGCGCCGAGGCTACCCCAGAGGAACGACGACAGATGATTACAGGTAGAGCATGTGGGTTGTGTATTAGGGGTGGGTGTGTATCTGTTAGGGTGGGGGTAAATCGGTGAGCGGGGTGGGTTTTGTGGGTGGGGGTGGAGTAAGTGGGTTTTAGAAACACGGTTTGAAAATGTATATTTACGAGAGTAGGTATTGCAACATTAAATATTGAACTTAAATTTTAAAGAAATGGCTTTAAAATTGATATGTGTTGTTTAACGATTACCTGCTAATGAGACGAGGTTTGGTGGATATAAAGCGGATGTTCTTTTTTCATAAAACAAATGTTTAACATTTGATAAGAATGGTATGTCAATCGCACAACTGTCTGTGGCAGTGAAATAATGGATACTTAACATAAGTAATGGCTTTAATAATATATACAAGAATTAAGTTTGTTGTATTACCGGTGTCTATAGAATTAGTAAATATGAAATAATGGATTTAAAAAATGACTATAATGTATTTTATAAATTATTTGTTTATCGAATAACTGGTGTCTAAAGCAAAGTGTAGTTCATGTTGTAATCTACACCACAGACGAAGATTCGTTTCACAACAGTGAGCGTAAAGGTTTACGTTCTATTGTTTCGTGGATTATTTTTTATGCAACCCATGAAATCTATGTTGTTTAAAAAATCCTCGTTACCGAGGACCTGCTTGAGAGTGGAGGGTATTGTGAAATATTATATACGTATTTCCCGTATGCACATCTGTCGCATTGTGCCAACAATTGTGGATTAACAAACACGTACATATAGCCTTAATGTTAAATAGCTCCCTTTGATCCGATCAATCATCAATAGAATACGTGGTAAACTATACCTCTAGCCTGGCCGTTCCAAGAATCGATCAGTGTTAGGCGATTATAGTAATTTAGCATAGGCACTCATGCGTTTTGCGAAGCAACAAAACACTAATTCTTTCCATATTTGTTAGAGATTTTGTTTGCAATTCAGTAGTGTTTATTTGTAAACAAACATGGTCATGTACTTAGAATTGCAATAAAAACTTCACTGGGGTAATGACGACGATGATGATGATGATGATGATGATGATGATGATCGGATACTATTATGACTACGACTAGCAGGGTGTATGCGGATATTGTACAGGGTCAGCACAAACTGTGATACGTAACCTTGTTTGTTTGTTTGTTTGTCGTTTGACGCCGCACTCAGCAATATTCCAGCTTTATGACGGCGATCTGGTAATAATCAAGCTTGGACCAGATAATCTAGTGATACAATGACACGCGTCAACCAAGTAGGCGAGCCTGACCACCCGATCCTGTTAATTTCCACTTACGACAAGCATGAAGACCAATTCTAACCGGATCTTCGCTGGAGAACCTTAGATACCATCGGGGATGTTATACTAATATACCCCCCCCACCCCACCCCCACCCCAAACCCCCAATCCCGAGGTCGCATTAACACAAGAAGACAATGGTGGACCCTGCTCCACTTATGTGATTATAAATTGTATGGCCCAATAGTTTTCGGCGTCCAAATTCGCTGCACAGAGTTGCAGTCGTTCGGCGTGGAAGAAACTTGGGTTCGAATCCCAACTTCTCCCTGCTTATGTTTGAAGTATTTTTCAACCCCATATCGGTTTCCCCGAAGAGGTAATCATCTAAGATGTGTATCACAATCCAGTGATTGACATTATGAGCATCGATGTACGCAATTGGGATACGATGACATGTATCAACCGCGAGCCTGACCACCTGATCCCGTTAATCGCCTAACATTGAGTAAATAGCCCAATGGTTAGTGGCCCCGCTTTTAGGGCATTGACCCTGGTTCGAATCCAACATTTACTTACAAAAGTCGTACCGGTTAGGTGGATTTGATGGTGGGATAACTAGTCCGAGCCGACTAACATTATGATTATATAACTATGTTGGACGGAGCGATCGTAGCGCTACGGAAGTCGGAAGTCCGTGTTACAGCATCAGAGTTACGATCACTTAGCGCTACGATCGCTTTGTTGAACCTAGCCCTGGCTGCTTGGATGTCGTTTATCATGCTATCAATCACTGTTTTGCCTGGCTCAGACTCAACTGTTTTTCAACCACCGTGATATAGCTACGTAAAACAAAATTCACTCACTCACCGAATGGCACTCTTATTGTACTAGAAATTGTCGCCGAGAAGCAACCTCTTCGAAAGATATAAGCAAATGGGATCCCGTTCCAGAAGGCTATCTTATCGCTACGACTGTCGTGAACCTTTGTTAAAGTATTGGAGTTAGAGATACGATCGCTTTGTGAAACGGAGACCTAGAGCCATTGCATTCGTGACCAACTCGTGTTATTCCGGGACAAGCGTGACCAACTCGTGCTATTCCGGGACAAGCCGAACAGCGACTCGTGCCCCGCTCATGGCCATTTTTTGCGACCGGGTTTCGTCTAAGCGCAAACGGGCATACCTAAAACAATTGTCAACTCGTTGCGTAATGGTTCACTTACATTTCCCAATATATTATATATATTTCAGATGCAATTTAATCCACATCGGGACGTGCGAAATTATACAGTATGATTGAACACATTTAACTGTGTCTTTGGTATATTTTTAGATGCAAGGCATATGTAAAATCAAAAAATATTTCTGAGGGATTCTTTGACGAAGAACTTGAAGTCACACGCGCATTCTGATTGGTTTGTCGTATTTTCGCACATAACATTCATCGATAGGGGGACGAGTCTTCTTGTAGGTTACGGAAAGGGGCGAGTGGTGACGAATGGAGCCATTGGTGGCCCAGTCGTTACAATGCCTTTCGCGGAGCTAGGCGTGCTGGAATTCTAAGATTCTGGGTTCGAATCCCAGATTATGTTACTTGGTTCGCCAGCTCCATACAAACATTCGTGGTTTGCGCCAAGTGCAAAACGTCTAAGACCTGCCTCACTTCGAGCTGTGACACCGTGACGTAACCGAAATACTGTTCAAAGCGGCGTTAACCCGACTCAATTAACAGACATGTTCAATGAGGTATCGACTATTTACGAATCTCAACTGACAGTATCCCACGCGGTGTATCCAACAACAGATCGTTGCTGCACAAGCTACACAGCGCTCTCCCCATGTGGTCACTTTCGAACGGGATCTGCCAAGGACGACTTTGTCCTTCATCAGACCAACCTGTCCGCATCCATTGATTCCTCGTTAGCTCATATTTACAGGACAACAATTCGCCAATGTGCTGGCTGGAGAGTGTTTCCTGTCTCACATAACCCCTGTCAATGTATTGATTAACGAATTGATCACACATATACTACACAGCATTTACGAAGGATTTAGAGGCCGTAGCGTATTACAGCTCTCATTGTTAATTAGTAATCGGGAGGGGGGGGGGGGGCTCAGGATTTATTTTTTATCAGTTCTTGTTTTCACCGAGCAAGAAGATCCAGCATATCCAATGTATCTTTCTTGGTTTAATTTTATTATCTTAATAACAGATTTTACCACTATTTTCTAGAATACATTATTCTGATAATCAACAAAAACAGACATCTCCGAACACCCACCCATCCCCGACCTCATAGCAAACGGCCGATCGCTAAATGTGTGAGTGAGTAAGGTTTTGACTCCGCTTTTAGCAATAATCCAGCAATTTCTCGGCGGGGGAGACCAGCAATAATTGGCTGCGCACGTTGTACCCATGTAGGGAATAGAACCCGTGCCTTTAGGGGGGACGAGCGAACGCTTTAACCACTAGGCTATCCCACCGCCGACCCCTTAAATGAGAAATGCCATAGATCCTTTCACTGTCATACCTTGATACAGGCTCTGAAACAACAATATTCTAATTATCTCACTGAAGTGTATAGTAGTGTTTTAAGTCCAGATTCTTCTGTGTCTCAAAATAGGGAGATTCATGGGTCCTTTTCTCTTGGAATAAAACAACAATCACTGCTGAAGACCATCATGTAAGATGTACTAGCCACCCTACCACTTCACCAGAAAGGGTTTAATCACTATCCCTAGCAATCGTCGAGCAGTATATAACGGAAATTACTCCTTCCATTGATTATTCACAGAAAAGAACACCAGCACTAGGTACGAGTATTATGTTCCGTCTGACCTAATTCACAACGACGGGTTTTTTACCCGGCGTTTAAGAAACGCCATTCCTTGTTTAATATACTCCACTGTTTGATCCTGAATAAATCTGCAGTTTTTAAAGTCTGTAAGTCATGCCTACCGCAAACTCACCCGTCTTGAAGCAATGGAGTACTTAATATATTCATTGTATACGACCATAGATCTCTGATTTCATGCACTCGAAGCAGCGTGGCTGTTCAGCACCTTATTGTTGTGTTCCCTTGTGGTGTGGGCTGGGACCTCCAGTCGTGTATATTATGCATGTCGATTGTGTTACAGATCACGTGACAACGAGCTTGAATTTTACGGTGTACCAAAGGAAAATGTCGGAGCATGTCGGGATCATAGATATTTATGATATTATAAACGCTAGGAGCATATTTATATTCAGTAGAGGTCACCAACAGTTTTATGTTAGATACTAGACTGCATGCAGTCTCTGTTTTCTATATGACTTTAAGAATAAGAAAAATCCGAGATATACTTTTTCCTCTTTCCTGGTGTTCCGAATGCATGAAATTATGAAAACAGATTTTGGAACAATGTTTCAATTTTTTCCTTTTTTTTTTGCATTCTGTGTGTTTGCTTCTTTAATGTTTTTATACCTTATTTACATACTATAATAACACGGAGACTGCACCAGTCTAGGTTAATGTGCGCGAAACACGCCTCATTATCTGTATATGTGCGCCTGTCTAGTTATATGTCTGTCTGTCTGTCTGTCTGTCTGTAGATAGATCTGTCTGTCTTCCTGTAAATATGCATGTCTGTCTGTAGATATGTCTGTATTTCTGTGGATATGCATGTCTGTCTGTAGATATGCATGTCTGTCTGTAGATATGCATGTCTGTCTGTAGATATGTCTTTCTTTCTGTGGATATGCATGTCTGTCTGTAG